GGTCTGATTGTGTGCTTTTGTGTGGGCAGAGCAGCTGCTACACAATTGCTGTAAAACATTTTCCCATTATGGCCAACCACTGTGTCACATGAATCATTTGCAGTGGATGTTTAACAGCTATTGTAGGCGAGTAGGAGGGAATTTCAATAAAATACAATTTCTATCATCAAGGCTGGAGCACGATGTATTCAGAATTATTCAGGCCATTTTTTAGAGATACAAGTTGTACTTTAATCATTCTTGTATTATCAGCTGAATAAAACGTAATTTTAGATGACAGTGCTTTCATATTGACCTGGACTGTATCTGAACCACTATCAGCCTGCCAAAGGCTGACGATATCACAAATATATCTTGAGTCAAAACAGAAGGCTCTTGGATTTTTACCGGGAAAATGTAATCTTTTCTTTTCCCAGGAATAAGCTTAGATATAGATGGCTACCTCCTTTATTTATAAATAAAAATGACTGCACGGAGAAAGATCCATATTTTTGTGCAAATAAATTAAAATAAATTTCCACTTTATAATATTGTTTGCATTTATTTAGTGGAGACGTGATGCCTCTTGATATGTGGCCTCAGAGCAAAATATCCCTGAACCACCATTGCTCCAAGCCCCTAAACAGGTTATAAACCTATTAGGTAGAGCTTAATTCTTAAGTAATGACCCATGGATGGATGCATTGATTTTGTAGTGTTCCACTGCAAGAGCTGTGCCTGATACTTTAAAGCTCTTGGAGTATGTCTATTGAAGCCAGGAACAACATATGGCTAAAGGGTAGCTATAGTTAAGTCTAAGATATGCAGATCATGTTCACATCTATGCAACTGTTTCTGCAAACATCTGTTAAACTAATCTGAGCAAACAGGAAAGCATACCACATCACTTGTCAAATACGGTGGTGTAGAGGTTTATCTGTGTAGTTTCTCAGTCATCCAGGCCGTGGCGCTCTAAGAAGCTTGGAAGAAAAGCGAATGGACTTCTTTAAATTTCCTAAGAGTGACTTTTATCCTTTTGTACTCTGCGCCTAAAGGAGGCCGTTTATGTCCACTGTGAACAACTGTCACTGAATAAAGGGAGCGTTGTGATACCAACTGTCTGCCACCTACAATGCAGTTTTGCGATCAACATCCACTCACATCTTGTGTCAGGTGACCCCGATGGGTCATCCCCAATAGGGCAAAGCAAGAGCGTAAAGTGGTTTCACCCCAAAACCACCTTTTTTCACACCTTGGCTCATGTGGTGAAACACATGATTAACAGTTGGTCAACAACCCTTTTAAGGGACAACCCCCT